CCTTGCTTACTCTATACAAAACAAACACAAGACGACTCTGACAGGTGAAAGAAGGCAGACACCTAGGGTCCTTCAGACGAGAGGGCTGACTTGAATGTTCCTTTTGCTTTCTGTATCCCAGAACTGGAACTGAAGAAGCTGGCAACCAAAGCAACACTAACAGGCACAGAGCAAAAGTGCTCTCACAAAAGCCTGTTTTCTGAGAGCAACGGACTAGGAAAGGATTTGTCTAGCAAGACAAAACATGGGTAGACAATAACCACTCTGGTCCAGCCAAAACCAGATAAAAACTGTGGCCCTAGGCCCACTATCAGAGACTGAGCCGGGAGCTAGATTTCTACTCTCATGAGGTTGTAAGGACATGGCTCAATACCCCCTAGTCCCCTGCTGGGGTGATGTCAGAGAAAGTCAAACAGGGAACAGGGACTGTCACCCTCCTACTCCTGGCAGGCAACAAGATCCACGAGTACACACTATGTCCATGGGGACAGTGTGGGAGGCCTGGAACCCCACCTCTACCTGGAAGTAATGAGATACTCCCTTTCTCCGCTGAGCCAATGTTAGAGAAGACACAGTGGAAAAGTCAGGACTTTCCCCACTGCCCAAGGGTAAAGCCACCCATCTCTCATCCTGTAAGTGTCAGAGGAAGCAGGAACCAGGCACCCCTCCCCCTCCCAGGCAGTGGAACCCTAAAATAAAGTTTACCCCCATGGAGTTTCAGGCTCCTGGCTATATGGGGAATGAACCAGTAGATGGAAGATTCTCTCTCTTTCTCCCCGCCCCCCCAAACTCTGCCTTTCAAATAAATAAATCTTTCTTAAAAAAGAAATCAAAGTAGATATTCATTAAAGAAAGGTAATGGGAAAATATGCAAACCTTTAGAAGCTAATAATGAACTTCTAAATAATCCAGAGGTCAAAGAGTTTCAACGAAAACAAACAAAACACATTGAGATGAATGAAAATGAACATATGACTGTATTAGTCCATCTTCTGTTGCTCTAACAAAATACCCAAGCCTGGGTACTTTATAAAACCAGAAATGTCTTTAGCATACAATTTTGGAGGTTGAAAATCCAAGATCTAGCAGCCCTAACTATTTAGCCTCACATAGCAAAACCAAAAGTCAGAGAGAGCTTTAGGGGGCAGGTTTGCTCTTTCTTATAACAATTCATTCACTCTGCAACATCAGCATTAATACTTTCTTTGAGTCCCACCTTCTTAGGAAAACACCCCACGATCTGATTCAATTCCACTAGGTCCCACCTCTTTTTTTAATATTTATTTATTTTATTTAAAAGTTGGAGTTACACAGAGAGAAGGAGAGGCAGAGAGAGAGATTGAGAGAGAGACAGAGAGAGAGAGCGAGAGAGAGAGAGAGGTCTTCCATCCGTTGGTTCACTCCCCAATTGGCTGCAACGGCTGGAGCTGGGCCAATCTGAAGCCAGGAGCAAGGAGCTTTTTCCGGGTCTCTCATGCATGAGCAGGGGCCCAAGGACTTGGGCCATCTTCTAATCCTTTCCAGGCCATGGCAGAGAGCTGGATTGGAAGTGGAGCAGTCGGGACTCAAACTCATCCCTATATGGGATGCTGGCACTGCAGGTGGCGGCTTTACCTGCTATGCCACAGCACCGGCTCCTAGGCCCCACCTCTTAAAAGTTTCACTGTTCAGCAGATGAGCCCTCAGCGGGCAAACCGCATCCAAACCATAGCAACAACATAGCCAAACTTCATGAGATACAGTTAAAAGAGTACTAGGAAGGAAATTTATAGCACCAAAAGTGTGCCTTATAAAGCAGAACAGGCTGGCATCAATGATCTAAGCTCCTATCTTGAGACCTCAAGAAGAGCGAATTAAGCCCACAGCAAGAAGGAAGGAAATCATAAAGAGCAGAAATCAATAAATGAAAACAGAAAAGCAGGGACCAGTGCTGTGGTGTTTCATATGGGTGCCAGTTTGAGTCCCAGATGCTCTATTTCCTATCCATCTCCCTGCTAATGTGCTTGGGAAAGCAGTGGCAGATGGCCCAAGTGCTTGGGCCCCTGCACCCGCGTGAGAGACCCGGAGGAAGCTCCTGGCTCCTGGCTGGGGACCCGCCCGGCTCCAGCCATTGCGGCTGTTTGGGGAATGAAGTAGCAGATGGAAGATCTTTTCTCTCTGTCTCTCTCTCTCTCTGTAACTCTGCCTTTCAAATAAATAAACAATCTTTATTTTTAAAAAGAAAAGAGAAAAGTAATAAGGAAAGTCAATGAAACAATAGGCTCCTTCTTTGAAAAGCTCGATAAATGGGAAAATCTCTAGCAAGACTGACAAAGAACAAAGAACTGAAGAGGGAAGACACAAATTACCATTATCTGCAATAAAGCAGGGACTATCACTACAGATCCTCCAAATATTGAATAATCTTAATGGAATGCTACAAACAACTCCACACAGACAAATTTTATTTCTTAGAAGAAATGGACCAGTTCTTCAGAAACACAAGCTACCAAAATTCACTCAATATGAAATACATCATTTGGTTAGCCCTGCTTAAAAAATAATTTGATTTAGTAATTTTAAAACTCCAAAACAAACAAACGAAAAATGCAATCTCTCTGTCCAGATGGTTTCACTCGAGAATCCTACCAAATATTTAAAGAAGAGTTAATACTGAGATTACACAATCTCTTCCCAAAAACATAGAAGAGAAGGGAACACTTTCAAATTACTCTTATGAAGTTATTAATATTACCCTGATACTAAAAATAAGCAAGATAATACCAAAAAATACAGATATTCCTCATGAACACCGATTTTTAAATCCTTAACAAAATATTAGCCAATAAACATCAGCAATACATAAAAAGAATTATAAACCATGACGAAATGAGGTTTATTCCAGGAATGTGAGACTGATTCACCACTCAACAATCAATCAATCAATCAACATAAACTATAATCTTAACAGGCTAAAAATGAAAAAATTAGATGAACATATCAATTGATGCAGAAAAATAACAAAAATTAATGTCAAAACCTCTCAGAAAAATAGGAGTAGATGGCTAAGCCCTCAGCTTATTAAAGAGCATCTACAATGTGCCTTGCTCCTGGCTGGCTCTCTGCTTGGTATGGACCCAACTTAACTTCTAGACCTCTCTTTCTCCCCTAAACAATGCCCTCACCTTCGTACGCATTTCTCTCACTGAATAAAAATGAATAAAAAGCTTAAAACCAACAACAACAACAACAAATAAAGAGCATCTACAAAAACCCTACAGCTAATATCATACTTATGGTGAAAAACAAACTCTTTCTCCCAAGATCATGAACAAAACAAGATTGTCTGCTCTCAACTCTCTTACCTAATGTGGTGCTGAAAGTTTTAACCAGCACAATGAGGCAAGAAATCAAAACAAAAGGCATACTGACTAGCAAGAATAAAATAAAACTGAATATTCACAAATGACATGATTGTCTACATAAAAAATTCCAAGGAATCTACTCTCCCCCCTAAAAAAACCTACTAGGATTAATAAGTTAGTTATGAAGGTCATAGACCAAAAACAAACATGTAAAAGTCCACTGTATTTATATATACTCACTATGAGCACATGAACGTTGAAATTTACAATTTACAATCACTCAAGTAAAAAGAAATGCATGGGGCCTGCACCATAGCATGGCCGGTAAAGCCACTGTCTGCAATGATGGCATCCCATATGGGCACCAGTTTGAGTCTCGGCTGCTTCATTTCCAATCCAGCTCCCTGCTAATGCACCTGGGAAAGCAGTGGAAGATGGCCCAAGTTTTGGGGCCCCTGCACCCATGTGGGAGACCTGGAAGAAGCTCCTGGCTCATGGCTCTGGATTGGCCCAGCTCCAGCTGCTGTGACCATTTGGAGAGTGAGCCAGTTTATGGAAGGCCTCTCTCTTTCTCTCTCTCTCTCTCTCTGCCTCTGTGAAACTCTGAGTTTCAAATAAATGAATAAATCTTAAAAAAAAAGAGAAATACATGCTTATGTGTAAATCTAACAAAAATACTCACAAAGTTAACATGCCAAAACTATAAATTGTTACTAAGGTAAATCAATAAGAGTAAATAAACAGAGATACAAACTCTGGTCTTCATGCATTGGAAGGCAGGGTGGGGCAGCATAAGAAAATATTTGAAAGATTGGGGCTTTTTCTTTTTTTTAAGATTTATTTTTTTATTTGAAAAGCAAAGTGACAGAATGAGAAACAGGGATCTTCTATCCGGGGGTTCATTCCCTAAATGGTTCCAACGGCCGGAGCTGGCCCAGGCCAAAGCCAGGAGCCAGAACTCAATCCGAGTCTCTCAGTAGGTGGGAAGGACCTGAGTACTTCAGCCATCTTCCGCTGCCTTCCCTGTGCTTTAGCAGGAAGCTGGCTCGGAAGCGGAGCAGCTCGACTCCAAGCAGGGTTCTGACAGGGGGCAGTGGAATCCTCTTCATCACAGAGCAGGGTGGGGGGCAGGGCGGGGAGGGAGGAGGGGGTGCTTTTCCTTTTAATCAGAACTTTTAGAGATGCAAAATAATCAGAACTAAATAATCACAGTAAATTCTTCAGAAATTTTAGAGACTCACAGTAATCAGAAAAAATACTCAATACTAATAAATAATAAGTGGTTTGATGAACACTGGCTGTGGTCCTTCATGGGCATTGCAGGGAACCCAGTTTTGGGAGGAAAGGGCCGAGAACGCGGGTTTAGGGTAGGCGCATCCTGTGGGCACAAGCCAAGAGGTCAGCTTATTTGTAGCAAAGGGAGGCCAATTCTGGCTTCAGAACACATTCAGTTGATGGTATAATACCAGTATCTGTCAAGGTTATCAAACATGGCGGCGCCTGCGCTGTGTACGGATTTGGAACCAAAGCAGGCAGTAAGAGCCAATGAAAACTTGTCCACGCCCAGTAACTAGGGTACACGTCACGGAAAGGCAGAAGCCCCCGGCGATATTTGAATTCCGCAAATGGAAGCACTAGTTGCTGGGGGGTGGGGGTGTTACTGGAGGCATCCCTAGGACCTCCCAACCACCAATCCTCATGCCAGGTGTATCAGGGCGTGGCCATAGAGAAACAGTGCCCAATAGCAGAGAGGGACATGAAAGGGGTGCGGGCACCCAGCAAGTGAAAGGAACAGAGCGCTGCGGCTGGGCCAGGGTGAAGACCTGTACCCTGGTAGGCGGTGCCAACTGCCGCCCAACGCAATTCCCACTTACCGTTAAACATCATGGAGCGCGACAAGCAGCAGATCCTTCAGCGCCAGCGCCGCGAGGAGAGAGAGCTCCAGGCCCGCATCCAGGCCATGAAGCACACAGTCCCAAAGAACGATAAGAAGAGAAGAAAGCAGCTTCTCCAAGAAATGGCCCACCTCGAGGCCAAGATGGAGGAGAAGCACCAGCAGGAGCTGGAGCTGTACTTCGAGAGGCGCTCCCGCAGCACCAACGTCGATTCTGTCACTGATGAGCTGGCCAGGATGGCTCTCGAGAACCAGTCACTGTACCTCTCGAGAGCACAGCGAAGGCACGAAAGAAAGGCAGCCCACCAGCAGGAGCATCAGGAGAGGATCGAGGTGCTGGAGATGGAGGATCTGGCCAGCTACCGCCGGGAGGAGGAGGAGAAGCTGGCCGCCATCCTGCGCGCCAAGAATCTGGAGATGAAGAATATCCCGGCCGACGGCCACTGCATGTACCGCGCCATCCAAGACCAGCTGATGTCCTTTGTGACTGTGGATAGCCTTCGTCACTGCACCTCCGAGTACATGCAGAAGCACGTCGACGACTTCCTGCCATTCTTCAGCAACCCCAACATCTGCGACGGCTGCGCACGCGCCGACTTCCTGAAATACTGCCAGGACATCGTGAGACGTGCCTCGTGGGGAACCCAGCTCGAGCTGAGAGCCCTGTCGCACATCCTGCAGACCCGCATCGAGGTGATCCGGGCCGATTCGCCAGCCCTCATTATCGGGGAGGAATACAACACGAAGCCGCTCACCCTCGTCTACCTGCGCCACGCCTGCGTCACCGGCGAGCACTACAATTCCGTGAAGCTGGTCAAGGCCACGGGCGCCGAAGCTGCGGGCCCCGAGGTTATGGGCGCCTCGGCCGCCATGACACCGCGCCACTTCTAGACGCCGCCGCTGCACCGGCCACCGCTGCAGCTGCTGTTTACTCCGAAACCGAAGCCGCTGCCGCATCCTCTCAATAGGCTTGATGGTATTGTTTTTCCTCCCTTGTTTTTTATTTGTGTGTGTGTGGTTGTTTTTCTTAATTTGACAAATTTGCTGACCACCCCCACCCCCTCCCCGACTTTCCCCGCCCCTACCCTTTCCTCCTCTCTCATTCACTCCTTGGGCTTCGCTGCTTTCCAGCCACACGGCCCTTGACATTGACTCTGAGGAAAGCTGCCACCATGTGCTGCGCCCCAAGAGCCATTGATTTGAGCGCCGTTTCACCTCTTCCTCCAGGATCTTTGCTCCCCTTGCCCCCTGAGAATGGGTCCTGTCGCAGATAATGGGTAAATTCGGAAACTTCGGGTTGGGCGCATTTTGAATTTGGAGGAAAAATAATTCACTAGGCTAACCCGATATCTAAAGATGTTCCCATTTGTATGGAATGACATCGAGGAACTTGAAGTTGAGGTTTTCTTTTTTTTTCTCTTTTTAGAGTGCGAGCCATTCTTTGATTTGCTTTTTATATATTGACGTCTGTTGCTTGTTTGCTTCTGCCAGGCTGCTCAGGAGATGTGGCAAGTTCTGAACAAGAACTTCGCTACTATTTGGTTTCGTTATCAAAATTTGTGTGGTTTTGAGTTAATTTTGTTGTTTAGATGTTTGCTAAGTTCTAAACCTCATTGCATTTGGTAAGTTTAGATGGCAGCTGTTAAGGGTTAAGTATAGAAAGGGAATTGATGTAAACATGGGTTAGGTGATGTGGGAAATACGGAAAAGATCTCATCTTAATTTCTTTTATGCTAGTGTGAAGCAGAGACAAACTGATAGGCAGTTTAACTTACTGAAAGCAGTGAAGATATAAATTGATTGTTTCCTTTTAGAAGTGTAAAAGGCTATGACTTTATTCAGTTAATTGATCCAGTTCATGTTACCTGATATGAGTAAAACAGTTAAGCTTAATAACTTCTGTAATTCTTAGAAGTGTGTTGAAAGAGGGGATTTTAAAAAGTAAATGGTTCATCAATCTTAATATATCAACAGCTGGTATGAAGTGAAAACAGTGAATAATATACTTTTATTGATATTTTAGACTTGTTGAAGTTTTGAGTTTTTCAAAAGAATATTAAAAACTATTTGCAGTGAACAGGTTTTTGAAAACTTAATCTTCAGTTTCTGTATTTCTGTGAGGTCACTTAAATTCTTTTTTTTTCTAATCTTTGTACCTTCCAAACGTTCTACAGATAAAGATATGTAAACTCGTTAAGTGCAAGCCAAAAAAAAAAAAAAAAAGCAAGTTGTTTACGAAAATAAAAGCAGTTCAGAAAATACCTAGTTTTCTGGTTTTGTGTAGTTGACTGGGTTCCTACAGCGTTTATATCTCAGAATCTAATTCAGCACAGGACTCTGGAGGGCCAACGGAGCTGGGAGTGTTCACTGAGGCTTTGTGGGGGAGGAGAAATGGGCCTGCAGTCTTGGTGGTGGCCTGGAGTCTGGAGTATTTCCCTGGGAAAGAATTAGGAAGGAACTCTTCATCTTGGTGCTCTCCTTAGTTGAGAGCATCCCATATGGGCACCAGTTCGAGTCCCGGCTGCTCCAATTCTGATCCATCTCTCTGCTATGGCCTGGGAAAGCAGTAGAAGATGGCCCAGGTCCTTAGGCCCCTGCACCCACATGGGAGACCGGGAGGAGGCCCCTGGCTCCTGGCTCCTGGCTTCGAATGGGCACAGCTCCAGCCGTTGTGGCCATTTGGGGAGTGAGCCAATGGAAAGAAGACCTATCTCTCCCTCTCACTGTCCGTAACTCTCTCTCTCTCAAATAAAAATAAATAAAAATCTTTTAAAAAAGAGAGAGAGGGGCCGGCGCCGTGGCTCACTTGGTTAATCCTCCGCCTGCGGCACCCGCATCCCATATGGGCACCGGGGTTCTAGTCCCGGTGGCTCCTCTTCCAGTCCAGCTCTCTGCTGTGGCCCAGGAAGGCAGTGGAGGATGGCCCAGGTGCTTGGGATCCTGCACCCGCATGGGAGACCAGGAGGAAGCACCTGGCTCCTGGCTTTGGACCACGCAGCGTGCCGGCCGTAGCTGCCATTTGGGGAGTGAACCAATGGAAGGAAGACCTTTCTCTCTCTCTCTCTCTCTCTCTCTCTCTCTCTCACTGTCTAACTCTGCCTGTCCAAAAAAAAAAAAAAAAAGCTAAATGTTATAAAAAAAAAAAAAAAAAGAGAGAGGGAGAGAGAAGGGGACCTTCCTGGGGAGAGAGGCATTGGTTTGAGAGCAGAGTCTGTCTGGGGGAGGAGGGCTGGATGAAAGTGGGGGGGGGGCGGCTATGACCAGTTAAGGAGCCCCCAGGCTTGGAAGGTTGGAAGATGCTGGGAAAAGAAACCTGGCCCAGTAGGGGGCTGTGGGCAGCAAAGGTGGTCGGTCACAGATGGGAAAGGGGGTCTAGCTGGCCAGGGGACACAGGCTGGAGGAGGGCCATCTGATGTAGTTGGAGTAATGGAAGGAGGAGGGAGCCTGGTTGGAACCCAGGGGTGGTTGAGGGGTGGACCTGGCTGCATAGTGGCCAGGGACGCTGGCTGTGAAAGGTGGCCTGGCTGAAGACACAGGCTTAGGTGGGCAAAGGGGCCAGATGGGGGTGGTGGCCTTGGCAGGCCACAGAGAAAGATCTTAGGGAAAGAGAGAATAGGCTAGGGAAGGGGAACTAGTTGTGTAGAGAGGCACAGGCAGAGGAAGGGACATGACTGGGCAAGGGCACCTGCCTGTGGACCAGGACATGGGGTAGGGAAGGAGGCCTAACCACCAAGAGGGTGATAGGGTGGGGACTGGTTATAGAAGAATGAAATGGCTAGTTAAAGGAAGATGGCCCATAGAGTTAGGGGCCAAAAGAGTAAGGAAAGTGTTCCTTGGTGTTAAAGGAAGGAGAAGCTTGGGGAAGGGCACCTGGCTGGAGGGGGAGACACAGTTAAGCTGCTGCCTGCAGTGCCAGCATCCCATGTGGGGGCCGGTTTGAGTCCTGACTGCTTCACTTCTGATCCAGCTCTCTGCTATGGCCTGGGAAAGCATTGGAAGATGCCCCCAAGTCCTTGGGCCCCTGCACCCGCGTTGGAGACCCAGGAGAAACTCCTGGCTCCTGGCTTCAGATCAGTGCAGCTCTGGCTCACTTGGTCGTTGTGGCCATTTGGGGAGTGAATCAGCAGATGGAAGACCTCTCTCTATCTCTCTGCCTCTCCCTCTCTGTAACTCTGCCTTTCAAATAAATAAATAAATCTTAAAAAAAAAAAGAAAAGAAAAAGAAAAAGAAAGAAACCCAGGCTGGGGGAGCAGGGCACCAGACCAAGTCAAGAGATCTGGCAAGAAAGCAGGCTTAAGCTGACAAGAGGACATGGGCAGGTGAAGAAGGCAGGTACCCTGATAGGAGTATTGCCATCTTATAAAGTAGGGTTGGAGAACCTTGTTTTTGGCAAAGGGCCATTTGGCATGTGGGTGTTTGTAACATCATCCGCGGGCCATACAAAATTATCAACTTAAAAATGAACCTGCTAGGAACCAGCACTGTTGGTGCAGCAGGAAAAGCCACGGCCTGCAGTGCTGGCATCCCACATGAGCACTGGTTCGAGTCCCAGCAGCTCCACTTCCTATTCAGCTCCCTGCTAATGCACCTTGGAAAGCAGCAGAAAATGACCCAAGTCTGGGACCCGGCCACCCACATTGGAGACCTGGAAGAAGCTCTTGGTCCTGGCTTCAGCCTGGCTCAGCCTTGGTCGTTGTGGCATTTGGGGAGTGAACCAGTAGATAGAAGATCTCTCTCTCTCTCTCTCTCTCTCTCCCTCTGTGTGTGTGTGTGTGTGTGTCTCCCCCTCTCTAACTCTGCCTTTCAAATAAATAAATAAATCTGTAAAAAAAATTAATCTGCTATAGGGACTGGCATTGTGGCATAGCAGATAAAGCTGCTGCCTCCAACACCGATACAAGCATTTCATATGAGCCCCATTTTGAGTCCTAGCTGCTGATAACCTGGGAAAATCAGTGGAAGATGGCCCGAGTGTTTGGGTCCTTGATTACCCATGTGGGAGAACTGGAAGAAGCTCATGGCTTCAGCCCGGCCCAGTACTGGCCATTACAGCCATTTTTAAAAATTTATTTGAGAGGTAGAGTTACACACAGTGAGAGGGAGAGACAGAGAGAAAGGTCTTCCTTCCTTTGGTTCACTCCCCAAATGGCCACCACGGCTGGAGCTGTACCGATCCGAAGTCAGGAGCCAAGTGTTTCTTCATGGTCTCCCATGTGGGTGCAGGGGCCCAAGCACTTGAGCCATCTTCTACTGCTTTCCCAGGCCACAGCAGAGAGCTTGATTGGAAGAGGAGCAGCCGGGACTAGAACCAGCGCCCGTATGGGATCCTGGCACCTCAGGTGGAGGATTAACCTACTGCACATGACGCTGGCCCCATTGCAGCCATTTGGAGAGTGAATCAGTGATTGGACACCAGAATGAACTTAGCTTTCAATTATATTTTCCACAGACTTGTGAAGTAGCCTTATATTTAGGTTTGAAGCCCAATTCATCCACCCACTGTAGCTTTATGATTTTAGATAAATCAGTCTTTCTGGGCCTCAGTTTCTTCATTGATAAGCTGCAACAGTTAATTCTTGTATTAGAGATATCATTTGAGAATGTTAGGAGGTATAAATGAAAATACATACAGGGGCTGGTGTTGTGAGCTCAGCAGGTTAAGCCTCTATCTGCAACAACAGCACCCCATATCAGAGTGCTGATTCCAGGCCTGGCTATTCTGCTTCCGCTCCTGCTCCCTGCCTAGGTGCCTGGGAAAACAGAAGGTGACCCAAGTACTTGGGTCCCTACCACCCATGTGGGAGACCCGGATGGAATTCAGGCTCCTGGCTTCAGTCTGGCCCAGCCCCAGCTATTGTGGTCCTTTGGGGAGTGAACCAGCACATTCTGTCAATCTGCCTTTCAAATAAATAAAATGAATCTTAAAAAAAAAAAACATAGAAAGTACCCAATAAGTACTTTTATTTTTTAAAAATAAGTGTTCAGTAAACATTAAGAACATAACATTATCAATTCTGGCAATCACCACTCCTTGATTTTGTCTACAGTGACTTTTGGAAACACTTGAC